GTAGAGACGACATCAGTTAGCTGACAAATGCCGAGCGAGCCTTGTGTATCGGTGATGAGATTTCTCCAGCAATCAACGCTCTGAAACGGATGCAGCTTCCCAAATAAGTGAAGTCGACAACATGCTTCACCAATCACTTCACTCCTGCCTATCTCTAAGTTAGGAATGAATCCATGTAGTCCAGTCTAGTTTTGTAGCATCATCCTACATTTGAGAGGAGCGAATCACATGTCAAACATTGGAAGATTTCTGATCCTCAAGGTGTTCAGAAGACTCTGCATTTCACCAGTCAGCATCTTCACCTAGGAGGAGGTTGGTTATGATAATGCGTTAAAGTTAAAGTATAATTCAAACTTTTTCAAGTATTGGTTTGTAGAGATTTGATTAATTTTTTTTCCTTCACGTTCTCAGTGGAACATAAGGCTTCAGGCTAGTCGCTTGAAGTTTCTGTAGCAGTGTTTATTTTTACAGGATGGGGTCGCTATCCCCATGCCCAACCTTTCCTCTTTACCAGCATTATTTCTGGCTTAGCGAGCGAGGTAAAGGAGTGCCTCGTCGGTGGCCGGGGATCGAACTCCGGACCATGGTCGGCGAGCATCCTAACCGCTGTGCCACCGACGCATATTTGATTGATTAGTTACTGGATTTCACCATGAGCTGACATTAGTACTCATGAAGAGTTCCAAAATAGGATGAAACAGCTGTGCAGTACTCCAATGGTTCTATAAACAATGTCAGCTCATGATAAAATCCTGTAATCAAACTTTTTCATTGTATTCACTTTTTTTCCGAGCTATTTGTTTTATACATGATGTCATAATTTTAATTATGTTTCTTTTTATAGATGATATGATTCGTTTAGCAGATAAAATACGCCAACGACAAAGTGGTATTACCAGTTCAGAACCAGATGCTGTCCAGTCAGCTTCTGTTCGTAATGCAACTATACGTGATCGACTTGTTTTACAAGAATTACAAGAGCTAAGAAATAATTTATCCTCACAATGTACAATTCATCATCCAGATCCAAATAAACTTCACGAGTTCACGTTAATTGTACGACCTAATGAAGGCATATGGGCTGATGGAAATTATCATTTTAATATTATTGTTCCAGAAGGTTATAATCATACACCCCATTAGTTCACTGTACAACACAAATATGGCATCCAAATATTGATGAGGCTGGACGTGTTTGTTTAAGTCTACTCCGACAGAGTTCATTAGATTTCTCCGGGTGGGCACCAACAAGACGTTTACTTGATGTTGTCTGGGGTATTGAATCCCTATTCTCTGATCTGTGTGATTTTAATGATGCATTGAATACAACTGCTGCTGAACAATATCTACGTGATCCTGAAGCATTTCATGATACTGCACGTAGTTATGTCTTCCGTTTTGCACGATAATCTCTTAATCTTGATCTACAGTTTATTTCTTGTGTTCTTATTATTCCCCATATTCCCACATGTCTATATATATCCATACATACATATGTATTGCAAAAGAACAAGTCTTTAAGAAAGTATACACTTCATTTTATTGGTGATTTTATTGTTATTATTATTATTATTACTGTTCAGTGATTGAATGTTATTCATATTTGTTTGTTTATTTTGTAAACAATAAACATCGAATCCTCCCCTCCCCTTCACTCCCTTCCACTCCCCCACCCCAAAAAATGATGATTTGTGTTTCAAGTCAAGTTGATTCCTTTGTCCGTCAACAAACATAATATAAAAACTATATTATTTGTAATTTTTATCATCTCCTCTTGGGTTATAATAAAAAAATTATCCTTTTCTTCTTCTGTTTTCCCTTTGTTTGTTTATCAGCTTTTTGTCATTCCTCTGTGCTTGTCTGTGTGTGTGTGAGTGCGTGTGCAGTTTGCCTTACCTCCTCCCAGTTCACCGCCTACTCATTCACTCAGTGACTGTCGTACTACTGCGATGTGTTGTTTTAATGATATTAGATGGTTGGAGGCGATCAGCCACAGGAAGCCCTACTTAACCTAGGTTTCGTGCTAGTTGGCACTCACCAGTCAGCAAGGCGTATCTGCAGTCCTCTGAGATTCGAACCCGCGTCATCCAGTGGGGCTGAAGTCAGAGATGTTACCACTGAGTTATTCAGGCTTACGATTGACGACGTCTTGTAGGACCGTACCGGATACTTTGATTGGACACTAGCCAGTAACTAGTGTGATGTGTCTGGTCCTTTGTTTATTATTATTATTATATCCTTTAATTCCTAGAGGAACATAGGGCTTCAGCTGCGCATATCCATTGCCTTATATTTTCTGCCAACTTTTTCACCCCGCTCCAAGTCTGTCCACATGCTTTCATCTCCTCCTCGCATGACCTCCTCCAAGTCACCCTCGCACTGACGACCAACTCGCCGCTTCCCATTCAGTCGGGTTCCACTCGAGCGATGGCTTGTCTAGTGATGTCACTTGATGGTTTCCTCAGAGTATGGCCAATCCAACCCATCTCCATTTCTTCCTGCCTATTTGTTTCACAATCGGTTCCTGATTGGTTCGCTCATTGCCAGAGATCCCTCACAATTGCTGATCTTTTCTGGCTGGCCATCTGATCTTGAGTGATATTGAGCGAAGACAACTGTTAATGAAGGTCTGAAGTTTGTTTGAGATGCTCTTTATGACGCGCCAAGTCTATGATCCGTAGAGTGAGTAGCACTAACTTCATATTGGAGTTGAAGATCCGGATCTTATTTTTGATGCTGAGTAGTGGCTGTTGACCTCCACACAGACTTGAGAGTAATGAAAGCTTGTCTTGCTTTTCCGATTCTGGTTTTGATATCCTCAACAGTTCCGTCCGCCTGTAGTTGAAACGATGCTTCCTAGGTAGGTAGTTAAAAGAGGTTGTTTCTTTCAGATTCCTCCCATTTATGCTGGCTGATTGTTGTCTGTTGGTGTTGGCCAGGAATCTTCATTACCTCTGTTTTATCTATGTTCACTTGAAGTCCTATCTTCTCTGGATGCTTCTTCTATCGCCAGCTTGTTGCTTTTCACTTGCATATCTTCCAGTTTGTGGGAAATCAGGCATATATCATCGGCGAAGTCCAAATCCTCCAAGTTTTTTGTGTGAGTCCTTTTAATGCCTGTTTCCTAATTGTCCGCTACTGTCTGTCTCATTATCCAATCTACTGCAATCATGAAAATCATTGGCGATAGTAGACAGCCCATAGTGCAAACTGAATTCTCTTGCAAATCTGAGCGATAGGATTCAGTCTGTAGCAAACAAAGGATTAGGCACATCACACTAGTAACTAGTGTCCAATCAAAGTATCCAATACGATCCTCAGGAGGTCAATCGCAAGCCCGAATAGCTCAGTGGTAACATCTCTGACTGCAGTCCCACTGGGTGACGCGGGTTTGAATCTCAGAATGGACATGAGCTCCTTCAAGGCAGTTGCAGATACGCCTTGCTAACTGGTAAGTGCCAACTAGCATGAAACCTAAGTCAGGTAGGGCTTCCTGTGGCCAATTGCCTCCAAACATCATCTAATACCATCAAATCAATGTGCACTGTGATGGCGAGCTACCTAGAATGGTGGTCGCATTGCAAACCTGACTGACTGATAGAATTCAGTCTGCGCCAAGCAACAAAGGATTAGACACATCTGGCTGGCTAGTGTCCAATCAAAGTGTTGTTGCTATTGTAATGAGATAAAAACCAACACATAGTGTCACTAAATAAGTACTTTTCCTCTTCTCTTTCAGAAAGAAACGCTGATGTAACTCTACTGGAGCAAGAAGAGGACGGTTTGGCTGGGCTTGTTATAAACGATGACAGCTAGCTATGTACCTGATCATCACTTCAAGCTTTTATTTCATTGTCTGAATAACTTTTCTCCACATTTAAAGGCCCGGTCGACAACTGCTACCTTGCCGTGGTGGTCGGGCTTGAATACTGCAATGGCCCAACAAGCTAAACTGGCTGGGACTCATGTTCCTGCAGGTCCTACCATATCAGGAAGGTTGTTTGGATAGCGGTTAAACTAAAAGCAGTTACTATGGGGTACATGGGCTCCAGAATCCAATCGGATCAAGTGGCGTATGAACCCATATGGGTCACCGGGTACCATGGGAATGCAGCTCCTGACGCTTCTCCTCTGTCTTGCGGATTAGACTCCAAATCGAAGGTTCAGCAGGTGGTTCTTTGATAAAACCACCTGCTTCGGTCTGGACGCCCGGGCAGTATCTCAGCCCTCACACAACAAATGTAGTGTGGCGCATCTTTCTTGGTGCCATATTGTACCAAGCTTTTTCTGTGTTTAAATAAAATAAAATAATAAATAACATTTAAAGGCATATATCCTTTTTCTGCATTGAAACGAGAATTACACATGTTGAGATAGAATTCATTGGTATTTGTATTCAAAGTTTTACTTCTCAACTCTTTTCTATTTTAGCACTTTTGACTCCTTATGCTTGTAAGATAAATTTTTTGAATCGACACTTCATTCAAACCTATCTCTAATTTGGGAATCTTTTTTTCTTCGGTAACAGTCTTAGATGTCGTCGGTGTTGAGGCTAACATTTCAGGGAAAGTAGAGTAGAATTTTCAAGTATTGGTTTGTAGGGATTTGGTTGATTGGTTACATGATTTCATTATGAGCTGACATTGGTTAGAGAACCATTGGAAAACCACTAAGGAGTACTGGACAGCTGTTTCATCCTAGTTTGGGACTCTTCAGCAGTACGCACCCACCACAGCGGGGTTCGAACCCAAGAGCTTCTAATTACAAGGCCAGAGAGCTCGTAGACCATTAGGCCACTGGGACCCGATCCAATGGCTCATGAATTCTAACTTCTGCCAATTCACGACATAGCGCTACTGGCACTAGTCAATGTCTTCGGCGAGTATTTATCCTCACACTCGACCTGCTGCTCGCTACTGGTCACGACTTACCACTAAAACCTCAGGTAACTACCTACCTGAATAGGGCCAGTTGCCAGTGAGCATCTCATTGATATTCAAGTATTGGTTTGTAGGGATTTGGTTCTTCGTGAATTCTGGCAAATCTCTCCTTTGAATATTTTTGTACGATACACAAAAAACATTGTGGTGATACACCAGGATAGGCTGATTATTTCTCAGTAATATCGATTATGTGTAAAGCAGCAGCTGGAGACCAGTAGCGATGGAAGAATTTACAGCAAGTTATCAATCAACAGGTGAAATTTAAAACACTAACGTTGACAACCGTGAACCTGTAGGTCCCTTCTTCGTTAGGTGATTGTTAGCGTAATGCACAATCCACAGGGGAACAGCCTGGATGGAAAGATCACCATTGGATAGATTTTTCATGTTGTTTGTACAGATATCCCACCTCCGCGATACCTATTTATAATGTGCACAATAGCAATAGCCACAACTAAAAAAAAGGAAGAAGACGAAGAGGGAGTGAGAGATGTGTGTGTATGTATTTTTACGAAGCAAAGCTTGAAGTGATGAGTGGATACATAGCTAATTGTCATCGTTTATAACAAGCCCAGTCAAAACGGTTCTCTTCTTGCTCCAGTAGAGTTACGTCAGCATTTCTTTCTGAAAGAGAAGAGGTAAAGAACAGCTTATTTAGTGACATTGTGTGTTGGTTTTTATCTCATTTCACTATCTTCTTGATGTGAGCAAAGTTTCAAACCAAATATATAAATAATTTTTAAAAGAATGGTTATTGAACTAAGAGTACTCTTTTCGATAACCCCTTCATCATCAGGCTCTACAGTTATATATATATTCAACAATATTGATAGATTACAGCTCAATAGCGTCAACATAAAATAAGCTGAATGTCAGAAAAATTAGGAAAGATAATAGTACAAATTCATGAATTTATAGTTTCTACTGAAGGCCAGCCAGGGCAGTAGTCGGGGCTGGACTTGCTTCTTTTGAACATAGAGCACTGGTTGTTTGAGGCTAATTGCAATAGGCTCTGTGTTTGAAGCATGCGGTGCTTCGATGATTTTGGCAATTTATTAGGCACCCGGTAGATTATAGATGGTCCAATATTGAACTGTTAATGGTTTTCACTACACCTTTACTTAGCCATGCTGGGAGATATTCTCGAGTGAGCACTAGAAATCAAGTTCCTAGAGCAACGGCCAATATAACTCGCTCCACCAGAAGCGCAGTTGAATTGGCAAATACAATTTTAAGTGGCTAGTTTAGATACTTCATCTTTCAGTCGAGGTAGCACCATCGGTCGTGTAGAGAATAAGACGTGTAGTTCACCAGCATTAAAAGTTCTTTGAACTGATTTTCTTAATTTCCTCGTAATTATCTCACTTGGTATATCGCTCTTGAATTCCAATCGTACATAAAGTGGCTTCTTGTTTACAGATAGTGAGTAGTCCTTTTCCGCCGCTTTCTTTGTCATGTGTTTCTTGATAAATTTTTTTCGGGATAACTATTTTTGATCAGAGTATCATATACAAGGCTTAATTCATCTTCAGTTACTTCTTCTGAGCATGTAGCTCTAACTCTGTTGCTTGAGAGGAATGAAGCTGTCAAAATGTGCATACCATCCTGTCAATTCACTTTTTCTATGCAAATTTCTTTTTATGCTACCATCTGGTTTTCTTGTAAGGAGGACACCCAGGAAGGCAATTCCGTCTTCAGATTCCTCTTCAAATTGTGAATTTCATAGCCTAATGTACTTCATTGAATTCAGTAATTATTGTACTCTTATCCGAATCCTTATCCCACAGAATGAAGGTGTCATCCATATACCGACAATAAAATATATATATAATATATAAATAATTCTTATATTTTAGTGATTCAATGAATCGTGTTCAATTGTTCAATGTCTTGAATAGACAATGTATCACCGGACATGCGTTACGTGCAACTTATACAACAAAAAGTACAACGACAACACCGACTGCCACGACACCACCAACAAAATCGACTACTACAACAGACACCAAAATTGAAAAATGTAAGTTTATGCGTTATTGCCACGCATTTAATCGTCCATTTTAGCTGTAAAATGTACCAAAGCAGACAGTAAATTGTCGTCAACTGAAGCGGCGGTTACCTATAAAGTCCCCGAATATTATAAACATCAAACATTTTGTTATTATGACTCTGAATTAATCCTCAGGGAATTTCGATTGCCTCAACCTAATCCTTTTTAAATTTGAGATTTACAAGAATGTAGCCGGCTTTGTTTTAGTTAAAATTAATCTTATTCTTATGCATATTACCTACCTTATTGTGTGTGTGTGTGTGTACACACAAGATATTGTAGAAATAAATCAATACCCATAGTACACAGTTCTTTTCTGTTGTCATATAATTTTTATACAATGATAACCTTTTATAAATTTGAACAAAGAAAGAAGAAACATTGGCTGGATCCATTTTGTTTCGTCGGTTCTCATCATCAGCTGCGTACAACCTGAATTCTTTAATAAATAAAAATAGAAAAGTGTACAATTTTAACAAGCTTTTGTCTATTAGCAAGCATATTGTCACAGCGTCATAGTGAAATAGGGAGTTGCGATTTACAAGGCGTCAAAAGTGTTACAAGACATATGTATATATATATATATATATCTTGTTAGAGAGAAGTTTCTTGAAAAAATTAATTAACGGCTGCGTGGTTAGGGTGGTAACAAAAGAAAATTAGTAATGATTACGTAATTAGATAAGAGAAGATCAAAATTTCGGTGCACATGAGGTTAGATGAGAAGTTGATGATGTAATACAGTGAGCAGAACTCAGAAGATCAAGAAGGCATATCTCTTAAGAGAGTCAAGCGAAAAATAAAACGGGGGTGCGGGAGTGAACAGATAAGTTAACAAAATTAGAAAACAAAGAGAGTGACTATGAAGTGAGTCACCAGGGTAACTGAAGTCCAACAACAGATTCTTTTTGGCCACACATAAGTCAGACTTCAATCGTTTTATTGCTATAGCTTCAGCAAATCTGAGAAGACTTGGGGTACTTTGTTTGTTAATTATTTTGAATGATTCCAGCACATCTACTCCGTGCTGTCCTGTGCCAATCAGGTGTTTGGCGGCGATTGAAGAGCTTAAACAATTCGGTCCCTTTAACCGGAGGCTCCTTGGTACATGTTCGCAGAATCTGACGTAGGTCCTCCTTTCTGTTCTTCCAATGTAACTGCTCTCGCAGATACATGTGAATTGGTATACACAATTGGAGGTAACATTTGAGGGGTACTTGTCAATCTTTGACTGCACCAGTGAAGAGGTTGTTCGGTGTAGAGAGACTAATGAAGCTTCAGGATACTTCCTAGACAGGGCTGCGCCTTATCTTTTATTTACCATTCTCATATTGTCGTCGCCCTTGTAGTCGATATTGATGAAAATAGGCTTCTTATTGACTGTAGCTGTATCAAGCTTCTTGAGTTCATTCTTGCCATATTTGTTTGTTGATGAAACTTTGTGGGTAACCATTTTTTTTCAAGCATTTTTCAAGAAGCATTAGTTCACTGTCTAGTTTGTTTTGGTGAACATATTCTCTCTAACAAGATATACATATATATATCGTAACACTTTAGACACTTTGTAAATCGCAACTCCCTATTTCACTATGACGCTCTGACAGTATGCTTGCTAGTGGACAAAAATTTGTTAAAATTGTACACTTTTCTATTTTTTATTTTATTAAAGAATTCAGGTTGTACGCAGCTGATGATGAGAACCGACGAAATAAAATGGATCCAGATTATTCTGCGCGGCAATGTTTCTTCTTTATTTGTTCAAATAATTTTTATTTCATTGTATGTTGTAAAATTACTTCCTTCTTTATGGAGGATTCAGAAATGTTGATGTCTTTCTTTCGTTTCGCTTTTAATAATCTCATCACATATATGAAATCCACTGTTGTCTTAATCAATTTTTTTTTATTTATTTTTATTTTTTATTTCATTTTTGATTACAGCTTGATTCCACACTGTATATTTGGTAAAAGTATGGAATTCTCAGCGTGGATATCGGTAGCCCAAGTTTCGCAGGCCGACCATAGATATCAGGTGTGCATTGGCGTGGGCTCGAACCTCGGACCATGTGCATGGTCGGTGAGAGTCCTAATCGCTGTACCACCGACGGGAATATTAGTGAAGAGCGATGAGGTTAACTCGATTATGGATAAGATTTGTTATTTTGATAAATCACACAGTGTGTTGTTATACAGTAAGTAATATTTACAAATGACAACATTTCAAGCACAAATTATCATCGCTACTCATAATCGGCATATCAAGTTACTCACTCATACAACTTTCTTGCTTCATTTATATACATGAGTAAACATTGATGATTAGATATTTGATTGAATAAAATCAATATAAGATGATAAAGTACATTCAGAAATAATAATATGAGTGTTATCAATCCGGTACAATCAGATGGGAAATAAGACGAGTGTTTTTATAGTAAAATAAATAAGTAACTTGTTAGAAACTTGTGAAACTAATAATGATAACATAAATAAGAAAGAATATACGGCATTTATCTACAGTTTTACCAGATAAAGAGGGGACATCAGAGGCCCTACGTAGGATTCTCAATCAGAAACAGGAATTAGGTTGGTGGCATTTAAACCTACAAACTCACTCAGTTAGGGACAAGCTCTGTAGGCCAAAAGACTCGGTTGACCCAATTGAAAAAAAATTATATAATTTATAAAATACCTTGCAATGACTGTGAGTTAAGTCAACTAACTACATAGGACAAACTGGTAGATCGGGGGTAGTGAGATTATCAGAACATAAGAAATTAGCTAAGGTTAGAATGGTTGATCCCGTGAAGATAAGTAATTTAGAAAAAACCTTAGCAATCACACTGCATATATCAACACACAACCGCACAATAAGATGGGATAGAGTCAATATTCTAAAAAGTAACATAGGTAGGTGGAGATAGAGAGAGAGAGAGAGAGGTTGATTACTGAATCCTGTCTGGTTCATCGAGTTTACACACCCAACACAACACATGCAATGGGAGTGACTCAACGCAAATACCAGAGATATGTATGGAAGATATTATCACCACCAGTCAGTCGAATCAGAGGAGGATAATAAATAATCTCAAAATTCTATTTCAATTCATATACATTATAACATTCAAACAAGTTATTTTCGAATGTACTTTATCATCTTATGTTGATTTTATGCAATCAAATGTCTTATCATCAAGTTTTACTCATGTATATAAATGAAGCAAGGAAGTGAGTTGTGTGAGTGAGTGCCTTGCCTTGATATGATTATGAGTGGCAATGATAAATTGTGTTCGAAACGTGGTCATCAGTAAATAGTACTTACTGTATAGCAACACACTGTGTGATTTATCAAAATAAAATCTTATCCATAATGGAGTTATACTCTACTACGACAGTGCCCAAGTTTTATGCTTATATCAACAAAGAGGATACACATCACAAGATATCATAAACTTGTCAATCACATTCAAGTCACTTATTTCTTTGTTTCAACAAATTCAAAGCACTATGTTTTACCAATTCGTTATGCTAGAGGCGTTATGTCAGAGATTGCCTCCAAAGCCTCAGGATGGTCGGGAGTGGGTGCCTTGCGCTGCGGGTTGGCCACCCCTCCGCACACCTCTTGAAATGCTCCCATATGACCGGGCGTCTTACATAGCCTCTCCTGAGGAAGTCCTACTCACTGCCTTCACGTGGCGGAGGTGTTTCTCACCAAAGTGAGAGGGCGAAAGCGGATGCCCGGCGCTCTCCACCGGGTTGACTGTCCATTGGATGACGGTCTAGGGGAGATGGCTAAACCCTGATTCCAAACCTCCAACGACTGGCGTATGAAGCTCACTGAAGCTCACCGGCAGACGTATGGACAAAGGGCTTGTTGGATGTCCTGGATGTCTGGCCCCATTCAAAAAGGCGTATGAACCGAACTCCGGTCACCGGCTGCCAATGGATAGTGGACTCCTTACTCCACTCCTACTGCCTTGTAGGTCACACTTGGCTGTGTAAAGGCTAGAGCTGCACTCTCAAACAAAAGGCCGAGCGATCCTGGGGACATCACTCTTACCAAATTCCCATGAAACCTCATGAACTCTCTTACAAATTGCCGCGCCTGGGCAGCGATGATTCGAGACGTTCATGAAGCCGGCTCATCCTCCCGTAGGAGATAGCCGAAGTAAAGTAAGTAAGTAAGTATGTCAGAGATTTACCAACCGTTTTGTTGTTGCCTGATCTGAGGATATGTCTAACACTGGTCGAAGTAGCGAACTCTTTTTATAGACTTTGGTAGCCGATATAGTCTTGGTGTAACTGTGTAATAGCAGAAGACAAGAGACTTGATAGCGGAATGCTTATTTATGTACGTCTTATCTGAAAGTCGTCATTTGCACACATCTTTTACCCTTCGTATTGTCTTTCTTTTGTGGTGAGAGCAGGCCGTGAGAAAATGTGAGCAAGGCTGATTCAACAGCCAATCACAGCAGACTTAACGTGGCAAAATATGATTCGCAGATAGAGAACTCTATTTTTCGAGGGATCCCGAAGCAACCAATCAGAAGCCTGCGTTTGCCTGCTTAACTTCTGATAAACAACCAATCAGATGACTGAGCTTGTCTACTTGCATAAGCTATAATAATGTATGTGAAATATATATAAATACGTGTTGATTTTCATAATAAAACGATCTGTTGCCTGGCCCTTGTCTTCTGTTGTTACACTTTGTCTTCCTTTCATGACTTCTATGTTTCACTGTAATTCTAGTTCATTTGCTCTCTATGATGTCATATATATCAGCCTGCTACTTGATGTTTTTGTGTGGCGATGAAGGTCTCTCTCTGTACCCCGGCCGATAGCTGATACCTTGATGTGTGGTGGTCGCCGGACTTGCGCGTCGTGATGACCCAACAAGTTGGATTGACTGGAACCAATGTTCCTGCAGGTCCTACCATGCCAAGAAGGTTGTTAGGATAGCGATTAGACTAAAAGCAGTTATCGGAATAGTGTAAGAAATTTTATTTTACATTATGCTGGAGATCTGTGGACAAAGTCGTACTGCTGGAGAACAGGGATGTAACAGCATTGAGGTGTTTCCCTCAGACCACCAGCATGTCAACTATGCTGTCTCTTCACTCTGTAAAGAGGGGGTTAGAAAAGGTCCACCCCAATAATTGTACATCCC